AAAGGACAGTTACAATCTGATTCACATTGTGTTATTATATATAGATGGAAAATTTTACATGGGAAATATGGAACCATGTGCTGAGTACCCTGTAGGTACTCAATAAATATTTGTAGAATAAGTAAGTGAATGATTTCTTCCTGGCTATTGACCTGACCAGTGCATATATTATCCCAGGCAAATTGGATGAACTAAGTGTCCTGGGGGGCTCAATTCTGTGGCCTTGCCTCAATGGTTCCTGAAGCCAGGGCACTATCTATCTGGTCAGATAAAGCCTAGGCAAAATTATATGTCCCCTACCTTTCACTTCTATACCTTGGGGGAAAAAAAAAGTCTAAACATACTTTTAAAATCCCTGTGTGGCTAAACTCAAAATAATCAAATTCTGATTTTGAGATTTAGATGTCTGTAGGTCAGAGCAAGGTATGTTTTGGCATTATAGGGTCTTTTCAATGCTCCAGAAATCATCCTACATGGGCTGTTCCTACTCATACAAGTGGCTCTGCCTCCTATTTCCTAGCCTAAGCCAAATTAATTTATTGATCAGCCCCAAGGAATAAAGTGCCACCAAATCAAGTTGAGTGGATTCATGCAAACCTGGTCTTGGTCCAATTTCATTATGAATCCTACGTAAATCAGTTAAAGCACAGGATATTGAGGAATGTGATAAAGCTTACAAGCTAGCTATCCATAAAGTTCTTTACTATGATAACCATGTGGTCATTAAACACTAGTTATTTAGCAACTTTAAGTGAGCATACCATCCCATTTTCAGAGAGATTTAAAGACTTATACTACCCAGACATTGTTTTCTAATTGCAACTGTTGTCAACAATCTCTGACTGGCTTAGCCTAAAAAAGCTTACCTTCATTAAAACCACTTTCACATGTGTTTGACATTTGATTCTCAAAACAATCCTGGGAATTGGACATGCATTATTATCTTCACTTAGAGAAGCAGGGAAAGATTGAGAGAGGTTAAGTCCAGATTCAGTGGCAGAGTAACTGTTGGATATACACAAAGGTAGAGCCTAGACTCATGTGGTGCTGTCTGCCCTGTGTCACAAAGAACTCAGGGCATTGTCAGCAAGT